CCTACTTTCGTTAAATAACATATACTGTAAGTGTAAGGAAGCTATTAAAAGAGTGATATTATGGGTTGCGTATTAGCAAGGTTGTGATGTGAAACTAGAAACAAATTTTGTCGTTGTTTCTTAGAAAAATCGTTTAAAACATTCACAATTTGCTTTCTTCATCAGTGCACTGGTGTTTAATAAAAAAACAAAGAAACATTTGACAGGTTTGAGGCACATTTGGTCTACGAGCGAAGGACTTCAGGTCAAAATTTTATCGTTACAGTGTTCCTTTGACCGTGGGCCCCATTATCAACATAACCCGCAAAATTAAGAGAAATTTTACATGAGTAGAGCCTCGGCAAGTTCTTAAATCACACCCAGATTTGACAGGTGTATACATATACAGGTGCCCGTCATATGGAGTGTGTTCACGTGAAGTCATCAAATTCGCAAATCCAAAACTAAAGAGTCCCTAAAGGTTTCATCCTCATTAGGCAGAGATACTAATTATATCTATTTACAACTTTCCAGCTCAATAGCGTCCTTCGTTTGGAAACCAGCGCATTTTGAATTTCGGAGTTATGGCGGTACGTGACATGAAGCTAAGATCGGGTTTGTCGAAAAATGTACACTTATCACGAGGGTTTTAGCCATTTTAGGAGTTAGGGTATTAGCAAAAGTGCTTGTGTAAATGTTTTTTGGTTCGGTTCAGATAATAAGCTGTATAGATAGCCAAAGTAAGTTCCAGATGTTTACACTATTTTCCGGCCGCCATATTGGAGGACTAAGGAGGTCGTCCAACATGGCTGCTCCATACTAGGCTCTATGATTTTGCGCGGAGCATTTCGACGAATATCTCAACTTTGGGAAAACGCACACACCTTAAACTTGGAGAACTGTCTTCTTTATTTACCGTCTATAATATCTCAATTTCTTGACTTTATCCGCTGAATGGTATTTGACTTTATTTTTTATTGCGTGACAATGCACACACTCCATTAACGACCACTCCTTGAGATCCTAAGGTACCAATGTTGAAAGAACACTGTAGATGCTCAATGACGGTATAGTTAACTAATGATAAGTGCAGTTAAATAATGCTAAATAAGGATTCATTGACCAAAAAAATAATACAAAATTAATTTAAACTTGTCAGGTATAATAGAGTATGTTGAGAGAATTAAGTAAAAGCGTGTAAAACCGTGCATAACGAAGTGAAACACTGTGTTGTCACAGTAAGAAAATGAAGCATTACATAAATATGATTAATTCTAAACAAAAGGCTAAGAGGCAGTGGTTAAGATGTAAGACAAGTTGAATATCATTAAAAAATTCAGGGTTCAAATAATGTAAAGCACCGTCCACTAAGAAAAACGTGAGTGACAATATAATCACGTTATAGCTAAAATTAGAATAACAAAGGAAAAAGGGACGAACATTGCAATCAGGGTGCATTGAAAACAAACAAAATGCTCAAAAGTGACTCCAATTACAATAAAAGATGATTTACAAAACCTGGTACTTGCTCGTAAATATAAACTAACCACAGAAAATAATTTCATTTAAAATGTCTTGTCTAAAATTGAAATTATAACAATAAAACTTGAGTTTACTCAGCTCCTAGCGACAAATATTTTATGCTAAATCATTGAATATTTTTAGCGAGAGGATGAGCTTCGAATGATCAATAGCGGTGTGTGCTTTATTAGTGTGCTTCCAAGAATCAAAATACATCTCCACAGAGCTATTTCTCACATGACGAGCTTTTTCTCACATGACGTCACGGCAGCCATATTGGTGCCCAAGACAATGAAACGGTGGCTATAGACCCTTTTCATAAATGGCTGCCAGTTATAAATTATTTTGTAGGTATTAAAATTAGCCTGACTAACCTCGTTCTTGAGTTGATAATTCAAAAGAATTTTTACTCCCAAACGAGTTTAATGAGGCTAACTTAAATACATACAAAAGAATTTTAAATTGGCAGCCATTTATGAAAAGGGTCTATGTTGGTGTCCAGAATCGAAATCGTTCCTTTTGTTTGCATGGCTGCCGGTCACGTGAGTCAAAACGCTCTATATTGGAACAGTTTCAAATTAGAACTGGCAATAAACTTATCTATTCAAGAGCGACTTGCAATTGTTTTGTTTGTTATACTGATATGGCAATCTTTGTTGGATAAACAATACAATAAAGGGGCGTTTATTGGAATTGAGAAAATGATTCTAAAAGAAACCTTCAGATTGGGAAGGAGGGAGGGAAGAAGCGTTTAAGAGAGGAGCAATGCGTGGAAGGACATTATCCAAACTAGGCTTAAACTGCGTCAACTCAGGGACTATGTTTTTTCACAACAAACATCTCACACCTATAGGGAAGAATTTGCAACTAAGTTGGCGTTACCAACCACTTACAATGGTATTTTGCTTGAGGTTAACTGGCCGATATGTTTAAAACCAAACTACAAAAAATGTGAATGACAAAGGGCGCTTTCATTAGACGAAAACTTCCGGTTTTAATTTCCGAAAATTTCCCTTGACGAATAGAACAGGTAAACCGGGAACTTCCATTCCACTTGTACATGTCTTTCCTCCCGGGATTCCCGGAAAATTTCGTTTGAATGGTTCTCCTTTCAGAAATTCAACAATTTCCGGATTTTTAGTAAACTTTCCTAAGAAAATTCCGTTACCCGTTTCGAAATTTTCGAAATTCTTGGTTGACTGGAAAGCACGCAAAATTTCTAGTCTAGCTGAGTCTTTGTTAAGCGTGCACACCGGCCCTAATGAATCGGGAGGGTTGATTTTAGCTTTTTCTCTGGTCGTTGAGATACAGCCCGTTAATTTATTGTGCTCAGATCATAGTGCGATTTTACAAAACTACCTAGCCGAGGTAAACAAGAAAAATTGTTGAGACAACAAATGGTCAAGTTAATGAGTTTTTTCGAGTTCCCATTGTTTCTTTTGTTAATATTGTGCAATAAATCACTCCCACCCTATTTCAAGACGTGTTAATATTTCCTTCCGCTAATTGTTGCAATTTAAAAGGGAGCAAACATTTGTCAGTTTAATTGGATTCAATATGATAAGTAAGCGTTAACCACTAGTAAGCTGTTGATCGGTCTAGTATTCTACGCAAGTGCTTCATAAAATTACGATTAATCTTATATTTAACGATACATTATTGAGAACTTAAAGACCTTAACCAATTGCCTCTCACTGCTCAAAAAACTCGTCTGAATAACCAATTGACTGAACATTTGCTCGATTTTTTGTGTCGAAAACTGTGCAGATTCATTTACCGGATTTGTGATTTTCCATTTCGAGAAATCAAACTACTGCAAGGCAGTGCAAGTGCCGCATTGACAGATGTCTGTTAAGCTTCGTAGTACCATCTTTCTTTTTGTCTGTTTAAGTAATGATCCGCGTAAGAACTAGGCAAAAGAACAATAGACTAGTGCAATAGCGTCAGTTACGTTTCAGGCGCTATATCCCCATAATCACATTAAATCTGAATGATCTGATTGGCCCAGGCGCAAAAAGCGCGAATTT